TAGTATAATATAGGCAAAAGGGCAGGTTATCTCGGAAGGGCATTCTAGAATTTAAGGAGACAAAGGTTAATTATTAAAAGTGAGACATGAAGGTCCTTTCTTGAAATGCATTGTACCGCTGCACATGAAGTAATTATAATATTATTTTTCATTTTAAATATCAATGGCCAAAGAAGACACATTCTGTTGCAATAATGCAATGTCCTTCTTGGCCCAGAAAGGATCGATACCTTTCTAAAATGTACGTTCATAAATAATTCATAATAACTCTCTTGGAAAAAAATAGGTTAGAAAAAAATCTCTTAAGCTCTTATTAAACAACTAAATCAAATGCTTAAAAATTCAAGTCAAGGATATTGAATTGGACAATACTTACATAAGTTACTCTTATCTATTATATCAAGTTTTTTAATTATATACTAATATGTGTCCTGTTTTTTAAATATTAATAGTTAATAACATTTAATTATAAATTCGTATGAAACCAAAAAAGACACATGATCTTGTTTGATTGGAAAACTAGACATGTTGGATAGAAAAAACTTGACCTGAATTTTTTCCTATTAAAATGAAGTTTTTTAAGGAATATATTATTATTTTTCTATAATTCACGCGCCTGTATTTGTATATCTTTTACCGAGGGTTTAAAATCACAACCTCTCGCGTTTAAAAAAACCTCAAAAGAAAGTGCTTTGTGTCCGAATATATATACTAACTAATCTTCCAAAAAGCATAATAGCCATGATTAATTCAAATCAAGTAGGGTTGAATCACACAGAAGTAAAACTATTCTAATAACAATTTTTCCAATACACAAAACTCAAACTTGAGATCTTATTTTAAGAGAAATCAGAATCCAATCATTTAGATCAACTACTCATAATTCAAATCGTTATGATGATGAGCACCAAATAAGGATTCTAATTAAGCTATTTATTGTCAACCATTAATTGTTCTAGTAGTAATGTCACTCGTCGTATTTAGACAAGGTCTTGGATTTGAGCCCGTCGTTGATATATTTGTGTGTGCATGTGTTTAAATTGTATAAAATAAAAAGGAAAATTAAGCTATTTATTAATGTGCTAAATATATTGTTTTCCTTGATAAAAAAGTACTTTAGCATAGTGAACTGGGTTGGGTCAAGTTAAGAAATATAGGAACTAAACATGGCATTTATAACCATCGAAACACAATTTCAAAATTTTTTTTTCATAATATAATTATTTAGCATCTAATAATATCGTGCTATATTCAACCATTGTTGAATTTAATTGAGATAATTTTTCTGATGTATTTTTTCCCCCATAGTAAGATTTGAAATTTCAGTCTTGCTTAATGTATTTTTTTCCCCTTAATTATGTCCACTAACTCTCACAAACTGCCGACAGTTATGCATGATGTGTGTGTGTGTGTGTATGAGTTTAGATAATATGAAAATGATGGTATCAAAATGAAATATCAATCATTTAATAAACCAAAAATTGAGCTTTCTTCTACTAATTTGGCAAATTTACAAATTAATCCTTACCCAAAAAAAAAACCCAATAACAATAACAAGAAGCTCCAAAGGAGTATTTCTTTTAATCATCTCATACTGATTTCCTCAATGTGCCCTAGGCAAGCTAAACGATCATTGGTATCATATAGCTTGAAGCCCGCAACTGTTTAGCCATATAAATCAGACTTTTTTTTTCAAAAACGAAAAAAAAAAAGCTAAACGGTCCATCCTACCTTTTTTTTTTGACTAAATACAAGTATTTCTTATTAAAGGTAATTCTATTCGAGATATTGTTAGATATTAAATGTTGGCACATTTTTCACTCTATCCCACTTTTTTTAACTGTGAAACTTAAAATCATTTAAATGAAAACAGTTTGAGTACAATCTATAGAGAGAATCCCAACATATGTGGCCCAATCCCAAAACAAAATTCCAATCCATCAGTCAGAAAATAGAGAGGCTAACCTACGCTAGACTTGGGCTTATTTACAATCTACGTAAAAGACCCATTAGCCCACTATAAAATTTATAGGCTCTATTTACCAAAACAGAACCCCAAAAAAAAAAAAGGAGGGAATACTACACATTGATTTCAGGTAAGAAAATTATTTGTATAGGTAGTTCTAAAAAATTTCATATTCATAAATCAAACTAGTAAATTAAACAAAAAATTTTTTTTTATAACTTTTATATGTAGTACTAAAGGAAATCTACAAAAATTTATCCGTTTCATAAGAGAAGCGCAAATAATACTACTTTTTCTTTTGGCAAGTAGACCTTTGGGGTGTTTGGATAGAAACCAAACCATAGTTTCAGAAGTGCTTTTACGATTTACAAAATAAATATGTAGAGAAATTTACTTCGTTTTACGAAAAAGTACTTCTGAAACTATGGTTTGGAGGTTGCCAAAAACCCCTCTCATAAAATTCAAGGAACTTTAGTGAATATTCAATGAATGCTTGTTTTATTAAGATTAGTAAATATAGTATATTTATGATGGAAAGAAAAGTTCTTTTTAGTATACGTTTTATTGTCAGGCCCCAAAAAAAAAAACTTTTCATTGGAACATTTTTGTGAAAGATTCAAGGAATGTTGATGATAGCATAGCATCACCATAAAGTGAAGAGATTGAGTTGGACAAGAGATGGGGCCCACGTCATGATGAAGAAGCATTACACAAGGGAGAGTTGAAAGGGTGTGGGCCCACCACTGAGATTGGGTTTGGGAATGAATGAGTGAGGATGAAATTTGAACGTGTGCACGTGGGCACCATAAGGTTGCCGTTTTGACCCAGAAACAACTTTTCCATTTTGTAAACAAATATCTACTCTCTCCTATTATTTTTATGAAAAAAAAAACCTTCATTATAATTTTGAAATTAAGTGTGTGTATACATATGGATGCATATTTTTCTGAGTCCAGTAAAGTTTTAAAAATGGATTATTATATTAGTTATGGTCTATAAATAGTATAAAATTGAGTTGGGTTTTAGAGGCTAATTGGAGTAATATTACAGATTAGTATATTTAATAAAAATTTACATCAATAAGGGAATGTGCATATTCATCCTTATAAAATATGAGACCACGACCCCTATTTATAGACGTATTTATAATATTTAACAAATAATTCCATTGCAATTATATCCCCAAAGCCTTAAATGTTTAGTTCTAAATAGATCAATATAGTTAGGGTTGGTAAAAAGACCATTATAATTAGGCATCAAATGTTGAATTTTATTCCCACATCATAGGCACATTGGAGGAGAGATTCCATGGTTTAAAAAGTTCTCAAAGAAATACAATTCTCTTATCCACAATATTTACATTATATTATGACCTATGAGTCACATTCTTATTACTTAAATCAATTTACATTCATGGACTATTTGCCAAAAAAATTGTTCAAACATAGTCCGAATCTTGTCCAAACTTGTCTGGTATTACCTACATGTTGCCAATCTTGTTCATAGACATCTACCAAGATTTATATAAACAACGCTCTAAGCTACATTTAGGCATCCCCTTATTGGAGTTCCCAAATGTAGGTTTGCCAAATCTAGACCACCAAATGGATTCCTAAACACACAATTAATGTTTAAAATCATTTAGTATATATATAAAAAAATTGCTTACTATTTTTAGGATTAATATTATGTTTATTCTCTATAATTTACTCTCATTTTGATTTTGTTCTCTATAGTTTTAAACCATATGTATCGGTTGTTTGAGTTTTCTTCAGTCTAAAATGTTAGCCTTTACATTTTAATAAATACATAGATAATTTTTTTTAAGACTAAAACTTATAGTTTGAAATTATATAAATTAAAATTAAGACAAATTATAAAGACTTATTTTTATTAGGGGAGAAAAGCAATTAATGGACCAGATACCTACAACAGATCAACCGTGTGCCTTGTAATAGTTTTCTTGAGCATCGAATCAAATTAGTTGGTTGAAATGTTGGATCAATCCAATCCAAAATAGTGTGTTTGTGGTTGATGCCACCTTTAATTTTTTGAAATTGTTCTCAACAAATTGTTCTCTATTTATATATATATATATATATATATATATGTTTCTTTCCTCTTTTTGATTTTATATCGGTGTGCATGCCCACCCAGACATGCATGTGATTCCCCCTAGCTTTTCAAAGAGAAAATAAATCAAACAGAGAGTTTGACAAGACTCCAACATATAGAGCCTACGCTAAAGACACGCTCACTCTTCTCGTACTCATAAGAACCTCTTTGAATATTAGATGGGCCTCCTTCTTATCTTCTATCTATTTATTATTATTATTTGCCGCTAATTATTTTAACCTTTTCTTTTCAGTCAGTTCCCTACTTACCATCACTCAACCACCAATTAATGATAAACTCTTCATAAACGTTCTCCCTCCTATAGGTCCAACTAATGAGTGAGGGCTTCCTTTTTTAAATCATCCCTCTTCCGTCGAAGAGAAATGTATATGACAGTTAAAATTAAACCATATACTCCTATATAACACATTTTCTTGTATATATTACACCAAGTTTCAGTTATGAGTAGTATTGTTCTTATATACAACTTGTAAATAATATAGCTTGTTATAAATCTTAATTTGTTATATATATGTATATTGATAACAGATCAAAGATCCATTTTTTTTCTGAAAAAAATACTTAAAAGTTCCATAATTAATACAGGTACTAGTTATAGTAAAGACGAATCAAATGTTGTAAATAGGTATTTATTTCTTCTAGAAACTGCAGTCGGATAAAACTCGGATTGCGTGGTTGTACTTGTACCAATTACAGATTATTAATAAGGCTATGAGTGTGTTGAAGATGATGAAAAATCAAATGGAAGAAACCAACAAAAGAAAAAAAAAAGGCAGTAACAGGATCCAATCCTGCTGCAGAATAAAATAATGGAAACTAGAAAATCTCACATTACTAATTAAGAAGCTTTTTCCCATGGGAGAAAACAAGTAATTAATAAGCTAGCTAGGGGAAAATAAATAATCAACCCTAATAAACATTGCCTTTTGATCTGCTATTCACATATTAGGTAATAATTCATAAAGAAACAGAATGAAAAAGCCCTAAAAGAAAATTAAAGAACATGATGATGCCTTGGTGATTCTGATAATTGAAGTTAAAGAGCATCATCATCATCATCATCAGTCATGCCAGCAGAGAAGCATGACGACGCATCTTCTGATAATATATAGCCTTCCTTTCTGCTCTCTAAGGTACCCTCCGAGCCTTCTGCATGATACCTTCTTCTTGGAACCCGATCTCATGCTTCCACTCTTCATCTTTCTCTCTCTCTCTCTCTCTCTCTATATATATATATATATATATATATACGTGTGTGTGTGTGGGTGATGGATCCTGAAGAGTCAAGACCAAACCCTACCCTTTTCTTCTTTTGCTCTGTATTTTCTGCTTACAGTCTCTGAACTCACTGAGACTACTGAGAGAGAAAGAGAGACAACAAAGACAGAGAGAAGAGAGAAACGTTCGTGTGTCTCTCTGAACTCTGTGAAGCGATGTTTCATATAATACTGAGCATGAGGCTTTTTATAGAGCACGCCTGGTGCCTCTTTTGGTCATTTTTCTAAGTTATTACTGTTAGGTTTTCTTATTATTAAGTATTATTCGAGCTCAACGTGTGGGTGGTTGCTTTCTTAGCTTCCAAATCTATATTATCTCTTGACATTAATTAATGGACTTAATTATTAAATTGCACCAAAGCTTGTTTTTTTTATAAAAAAAAAAAACTCTTGTACCAAACAAAATGGTCGCTAGAGGCCCCATTTTGGTTTCCATGCTTCTCTCTGTATGTTTGATTGCTCCAAGATTTATGCAGAATCAAAGGGCAAGATAAGCTGTCGGCCATTGAATAAACCAAGTGAGCAATAATAATGTTTATGAGAGCGCCAAGGTTGCTTAGATATTTGAGCTTTTCCCATGAATTCGTGGCTGTGAATAACTAATAAGGAACTCATAATTTTAGATTAATGAGCCCAAGAAAATGAGAAGAAGTTTCCTTGTCATGTTCTTTGACTAGGGGCTCTCACATTATTTGATGCCCATGTCAGTTTCTTCTTGTAAAAATTAAAATTTTGATATTTCCCACATATTAATGTTTCCTATGAATTTATCTGACAGGCAATTTCAAGGAAACTAAACTTGATGTTTCAAAAATTAGAATGGACTTGTGCATCTGCATAAATCACAAAATGAAGTAAACAATCTAATTCTTATAAATTTTATTGCCATGTTAATATTTATGATTTATCATCAAACCAACTTCGTGCAATTTTTATTCATATATTAATATTGATATTGTTTATTAAGCATTAAACCTTTCGTCATGAGTTTTATGATTTATCTCGAAATTTTGAACAAGAAGTCCTAAAGAAATCATAAATATGATTTTTCGTTATGAGTTTTATGATTTATTAGATTATGTAAAATTATACTATTGATCTATATATTTTAACAAGATTTAAATGTTGGAAAATAACCTTTTATAAACTTTTAAATTATTATTTGTCTTATATGTGTATAGTATAAAACGGATCTCTGTGGAGGCATTAAAAGATTTTTTTCCCCTTAAAAAATGGAGTTTCTTTTCTATTTTTTCCCTCTTTTCCAAGAGCTCTTCCGAAAAATTAACAAATGCACACCTTTTCATCAAGCTACCAATATAGACATAGATTGTACCAGAAATGCAATGGCAGGCTAATGGTCAAAAGAGGAGCATGTGATTTCAAAGATGGGATATACACATAAAGACAAACATGTGTCAGAGAAGAGAGTGATCTCCCTAAGGACACTTATCAAGCAAAGCATGGCTCAAGCTCCATGATCGAGCTCAAATCAAAGACCATAATTTACATTTGGTTCAATTATCCATAAATAATTGCTAGTCAAAAAAAATTATTTGTGGATAACTTTTTGAACACCTGATATTAATCAGTTGTATTATCAGATTCTGACATGTCAGAAAATTTTTCCCCATGGCATTAAATTTGGCAAAAAAAAAATTTAAGATATTAGATATATGGAAAAAATCATCTATACAAATTTACAGATTCAGAAGAATTGATTTATCAGATTTTAAGCATGAGAAAGCTTGTAGGAAAAATTGTTGAAAAATCCACTACAAAATTAATTGCCCAAAAATATTTAAGGAATTAGGTCCTCTAACAGCTATGTATAAATGACTTGCATTTTGGATATGGTTAAAAGGTAGATTACACATAATTGAGAAAATAGGTTCCACCCAAGTTGTAAATAAATTTTCATGCTTTTGAATAATAATTATTGTAATGAGGAATTTTTCAAATGATTACTGGCGCATGGCTCATATTTCTGAGAAATTTTGTTCAATTAATTAAAACACCGCATTAAAATTAAATTGAAAGTTTACATATATTTAGTATAAATTAAAAGATAATCCTTGTAAAACGGAGTTTAATTTTTGGCTCCTTGATTCTTTTCAGATTGAAGGCCTACCTGGCATCTAATTACATTCCCAAAAAGATGTTCGGTAAAATCCCAAATTGCTGCTGTAGGCTTAATTTGCAGCAGAATCTGAAATAACTCTGACCAAGGAAATTCTTTAAACCTAACCTAGCCACATATTGCTAGGACATACAAAGTCTCAAATACTTAAAAAATTAAAATAAATAAAGTACAGAATATCATCGCACATGTTTTCTCTTGTGCTTCACCCTCTTAATGCTCAGGATAGCAGGCTCTGCATGTCTCTTTTTCTTTCTGATACATGTTTCCTTAATGCTCTGTGGAGTCATTAGTTAAATACACTGTGTGCTTCTATTATTTCGACCCACTAAAACATAATTAATTGATTTGGTTTCTTCGTTTTTCTTTCAAGAGACATAGTACCGGGGAATGTTCGTTGGCTTATATTTTTTCGTCAGTGGAATTGATTCATTTGGTTTCAGTAAGAGTACTGATTAAATACATTGGATAGTATTAGATTAATGAGAGAAGAAACTTATAAGAGAGAATAATAATATCTTTTTTTAATTCTTACAAGCTTTTAGCCCATATCCATACCTGCATAGACCCATACTATCTGAACTATAAAGCGTAGCTATTCTATCGTTTATAAATGGGTTAAGGTACAGAGTATTTTGCTGACGGCACGAGATATCATATAAACTTTTTTTGGTTCAAAAGTATACAGAAAATTTGTAAAATAGTACAAGCATGTCATGCAATTAACATTAATTGATGGTTTAACAAATATGTCAACCAAGAAATATTGTAAAAATACATATGAATTAGTTTTCAAATGGTATATATGCATTATGCACATAAAATTTCCAATGACTGGTATTTTTGTACCATTTTAAAAATTATATATATTTTTTATGTATCATTTTTTTGATTTATATGCTTGCTAAATGGTTGGTATTAATTGATTTAACTTCGTGCATTCAATAATTTTTGCATCATTTGAAAAAATTTCATGTATATTTTTACACCTAAAAAAGTTTATGGTGTTAATTAGATGCCCATGGAGAAATATTTTATTGGTAAATTTGTAGTTTAACCCTTTATAAAGTTAAGAACTTATGACAACAACAATAACAAATCTTATTTCATTAAATGGATTCTGCTACAGATCACGCCATGCTGTTATACTATATAAACAATCAAATATAATTGGATAAATTTTTAATTAACCGAAAAACTCTCTCAATAACTTTCTATCCGATTTTTGTCCACTCCTTTTTAGAAGACAGACGGCCCGATCTAAATTTTGTTTTAAAAAAAATATAAAAGTTACACCATTTTAGGATATGGGATTTCTTTTTGAACACATGAGAGCACTAAATTGAGATGATGGAGGCATGATGTTTAAAATGTGATTTTCCTTATGGGTTCTAAAGGGGACCAAGTATTGGAAGCCATTCATTCATTGATCCTACACAACATTACGCAAAGAGAAGAGTGTGTGTATATGTATGTACGTGACTGAAAGAGACATAAAACATAAATACTATTTATTATCCAACATTGTCTGAATCATGTTCCATTCTGGCTTTCCTACCCAACTTTTGATTCCATTATTTTAAAACCTTAAGGCAGTAATGGACAAAGAAGACAACCATACAGCACGTGAAAAGCTCGTGAGTAGGCATGGTTCCTGCCTTTCACTCCCTAGACAAACCCTAGATTTTTTTTTTTAAAAAAAAGGCTTCTTGGTCTCCATTAACCTATTTATCCCCCATCTTGTCCACTTCATGGTTTATTTATATCATTTTTTTTCGTGGGGTCACAAAAAAATCAAGTTGGTTTTCATGTGTGGGAATGGTTAATCTTGGATGGAATTGTTAATTTTTGTGTTGGATTAAGCAAAGATCATGTGTGCCGTAATTTATAACTTTATTAGTACGGTTCAGTGTACTTAGTTGCCTTGATTACATACATGACAGTAAGATGAGAAGAAACTAGGATTTGGCTGTTCGTAAGGCATTAATTCTTAAGAAGATTTGGTTTCTTAAACAATTTCTTAAATAATAGTAAGCTAAGTCAATGACTAATTAATATTGTGTAGGTACAAAAGTAAACTTTGTGATTACGCTATTGTTAACCTAAAAACAAAATCAAGAAATCAATTGTTAATAACTCTTATTATCTGAAGAGTCATGTTTATATATATAGGTGATCATTTTTCATTTCTTTCAAAATTCAACGGAAAACACTCTTCTAAGCTTCCAAATTAGTAAAATAACCTCTTTTATTAAGTGGTCTATTCATTATTAACAGAATATTGCATTTCAAAGAGATTATATACCCATAATCTAGATACAAAGTTCATGAAATTGCCTATAAATGACACAGTTTTATGATATGGAAATATTGCTAATTCTTGTGTTGGTTGGATTAACCAAGGATTATGTGCATCTTAATTAACATTAATACGGTTCAGTGTACTAGGTTGCCTTGATCACATACAAGACATTTTGCAACAGAAACTAGAGATTTGGGTGGTGGTAAGCATGGATTTTTAAGAAGATTTTGCGCTTTAAATAATAGTATACGCGTCAGCCATTTGAACAATAATCATGAAGGTGTGAAAGTAAACTCAATCATTTCATTATCAAGCAATCAATAATTAGATTCTATACAACTCTTTTCAGTTTTGGATTATGTACAGCTTTTTCTTTTTTTTCTTTTGAAAAGTAATCGATATAAGAGAATTATCTTTATATAATTCAAAGTTTAAGGAGGTCATTATACAGGGTGAAAAAAAGGAGGTCATTATACAAAA